AACTTTCCCCACGGACTTTCTTCGATGCACGTCACCGCGCTCTTCTATATATAAATTTATATTTATAATATATATATAATATATATATATATATTATATATATATTATAAATATAAATTTATATATAGAAGAGCGCGGTGACGTGCATCGAAGAAAGTCCGTGGGGAAAGTTACCGCGTGCTTATGTAATTATTGCAAGTATTATTATTACATAGCGATATAAATATTATAAATATAAAATATGTTTATATTTACATATATATAGAATTATATGTACGTATAAACATATATGTACACGTGCTGCACGACGTAAGTACATACGAAATCTGTTCGAACGAAGAGAGAGAAGAAAAGAGAGAAAGAGAGAGAGAGAGAGAGAGAGAGAGAGAGAGAGAATGTATGTGTGTCGACGGTTCTAACTATCAAGCTCACCGTTATATATATATATACAAGGTGCGACAATAATTCTGTCCATCTTGAATGTTATTAGTTAGTTTCACTTGAAAAATTATCGATGAAATTGAAATCCCATAAAAAAAAAAAATAATCTTGAGAAAACGTTCTTTTCGAAATTTTTTAATAACATTACGAACAAAGAAGATAATCAAGATGGAAAAAGTTATTGTCTCACCCTGTATATATACATATAAATATATATATATATATATATATATCTTGACATAGTTTTAATATTTATTTTATGTCATCGGGAGCAGTTAGTAGAAAAAGAAGATGCATACCGTATATAGAAAACGAGAAAAAAAAACGAAACGATATTATAAAAAGGATAAAAATTACATGCGCAAGGAGTTAGCAACGGCTATAACAAAGGTCCTTTTTTACAAAATTCAAAGGACACACACTCAACGAAGTTCCACGTCCGTTTTTCTTACTCCTGGCTCGTGTAATTAATCTGACAAAGAAGAAAGAATGAAAGAGAGAGAGAGAGAGAGAGAGAGAGAAGAAAAGAACGCTTAACTCACTCGGGTCTCGACTGATTTGTAAAATTCTCTAAAGGAATATTAAAATAGTCAATTTTCCGGTTTGACGAATCCCATATAGGGAACGTGACGTATATCGATAAGCTCTTGTATGAATACTGTAATTAACGTATGTGAGTGTGACGTCGGTCGACGTGTTATATCGTATAATTGGTCCCTTCCCCTAAAACAAAAACATCGGGCTTTATTATTCGCACGATATTGGGTTTCTTAAGTAATCATTTTTTTTTTCGATACAATTTGTGATATATTGAGTTTGGATCCTTAACGCAGCGCGTCCTAAGCATTATTCAGATAGCAAATGGTTTCTTTTTTTTTTTTTTTGCAAAGA